TCAGTAGTTTTTCCAAAGGGCTAAGAGTCCACTGCTGCCCTAAAGCTGGGAACTGCCTGACTCTGGACCTCAGGACTCCTTGCACTGCCAAGTTCAGCACTACTCTCGTCTTTTTCCACTTTCCCAGACTGTTGTCTTCTGACTGGACGGACCTTAGAGATCAGGGCTTCCAGCCTGGGCCTTCCTGCTCTGAGGCCTCCAACACCTAAACCCAGTGGCCTGGCCATCTCCTTCCCTTGGCAAATTTTTATATTGTTTTTCCTGTTCCAATTATAAGTATGGTTTCTGTCCCTGGTTGGTCCCTACCATATATATTATTGAATAAAAAAGAAAAGAGAGATGTAAATCAATGTAAATAGCACTGAACAATAACCTTGTCATTGCCCTTTACTCTGTGAATGAGAGATTTGGGTAAAGATCATAGGGGACTGGCTGGGTTCTGTTCCCTTGACATTGGCTAGGAACTCCTTCTTTTTCTCTCTCTTTCTCTTTTTTGAGACAGGGTCTCCCTATGCAGTTCAGGCTGGCCTTGAGCTCCCTTTGTAGCCCAGGCTGGTCTTGAACTTGCAACCATCCTCCTGCCTCAGCCTCCCAAGTGCTGGAATTACAGGCATGCGCCACCACGCCCAGCTGGCTAGGAACTTTTGACTAGACCTGGAGAATCCAAGATAGCCTCACTCTTTGGATGCTTCAGTTCTCTTTCATGCAGTCTTTTTTTTTTTTCTTTTTCTGTTGATGTGGCTCCTGATCATTTAGCAATTGAATCCACGCATTTTGATATGGTGACTGACTTCCACAAAGAAGAGAATGAAAGATAAAAACCTTGAGGCCTAGGCCTGAAATAGTTGTCACTTATAATGAATTCTTATGCTCAAAGCAAGTCACATAAGCAGCCTAAATTTTTGAAAAAAGACAGACTTTACTTATTAATGAAGTGAGTGGCAGAGAATCACGTTGCAGAAAAAAAAATCTCATGTACCAGGACAGGTTGTTGGAGCTATGTTATGGTTTAGGCAAAATATGTCTCCTAAAGTCTCATATTCAGAGGTGGTGGCCTGGTCAGAGGATTGGGTCACTGGGGATGTGATCAGGAAGGGTGCATTTTGGTCCCCTGCTCCTCCCTTCTCTGCTTCCTCACTTTCATAGCCATGCTATTCTGTCATACCATTTCTGCCTTGGAACTTTTCAACATGGACTGAACCCACTGAAACTAGAAGCCAAAATAAACCACTCCTCCTTTAAATTGTTAGGTATTTTGTCCCAGTAATAAGAAAGTGACAAATAAAAACTATATATTTGGAAAAAATCTATCATATTTGTCTTTTTTACCCTATTCCTTGCTTTCCCATGATCTATCACCCAGGTTTATCAGATACTGCCAAATTATGTCTCAAAACTGTCCTCACACTTCATGAAAAAGCACAAAGAGAATTAGGTTCTTCTCAGAGAGGCCCTGTTCATCTTTTTTGTTTGTTCATTTGTTTTTGTTTTTTGAGACAATGTCTCACTTGGTAGTTCAGCCTGGACTTGAACTCACAGTGTAGTCCACACTGGCCTCTTACTCACAGCAATCATCCTGCCTCAGCCTCCTGAGTGCTAGGATTTACAGGCATGTGCCACCACACCTGGTTAGCCCTGTTCAGTTTGGTTTGTTTTTTTTTTTCCGGTACTGGGAATCGAACTCAGGACTTTGCGCTTGCCAGGCAGGCGCTGTGCCGCTAAGCTAAATCCCTAGCCCCCAGCCCTGTTCATTTTGATGGTCTCACTTTAGTCCTCTGAGGAGGTGCCTTTTTCCTTCAAACTTCTTCGGTACAAATAGTCACTGTCAACATGAGGCAGTGTCACTATAAGACCCATTCCCTTCCTTCTATAATGGAAGTCGTGCAGTGCAAAACCAAGAAAAGTCCAGATTGATCTGTCTGAAATAGCACTGTTACCATCAGGCTGTTCGGTTCTCCTCTCAACCCAGAGAATTACAAGGCAGAGTCACAAGAGAAAAGAGCAAAACCATTTATTATACAGCGAAAGCAATACCAAGAGAGGACCTTTGTCTAGGGGTTTTTATATACAAAATGATTAAATTTCACACTACTCTAGGCCACGCTGAGGCCAGTCTATGAGGTCACAAGCAGGAAAGTTTGACTTAGAAGTGAGCCTGTAGGAACTCAGGGTATGTAGCAAGCACACTTTTGCAACTTTTGCAAGCACTATTAGTTATAACTTTTCTAAAATTATCTGAGAAAAGATACCACCTCCTGGAGGTGAAGCTGGACAACTATGGGTTAACTGTACAGCTAAGCTGCTTTGAGAAATTGAGTAGCTGGGCTCCCTGAAGAATTGATGGTTTTGATCCTGGTCATGTACGGGTTCAGCTGTGAGGTAAATGTTAGTGGAGCATAGCAGACTTGGAAGAGCTTGTCTGAAGTTCCTGCCCCATGGATCACTGTTCATTTCCTTTTAACCATTGCTTTTGCTTCTATAGCTTTGCTTTATACTGATTTCCAACGAGAAATTGCCCCATATGATAAAAGCAATATAAAAGGAGAAAAGGCTTTGTTCTGGGCTCTCAGATGGACACTAGTCACTCAAGGGACACCAACAATAAACTGCTCTTTGGCCTATTTCTCTGTTTCTTGTCGGTTCTGTCGGAGATCCCACGCAGTCTCCTGCTTCACTCAGCACAAGTAAAACAAAGGCACTCTTTAAGGGCTATGAATGGAGGCGTGGTGGTACTGGTTACCTATCACCTTGTTTTTATCACAGGAGGATCCCACTAGTTTAACATGGGACCCTATTCATCACGCCACTGGGGCCCTAACCCTGGCCATCGTGTCTATATCCTGGGGTCTGGCTTTTTGTTAACCCTCGGTCCCAGGCTTTACCTTATCTTGTCCTTCACTGGTCATCCTGACTCCCTCTGGGTTTGGCTTTTTCCTGGCTGCCTGTCCTGCCTGATAAAACACGCCCCTAATGGGCCGGCATCACTCTGGAAAGTCTTCTCACCTTCCCCAGGGTCCTGCTTGTCCTCTACATTTTCTAATACAATGTTTTCCTGGAACTGATTGTTTAAATCACTATTGTGTGCCTCTTTGTAGGGAAATGATAACTAAATCTTAAGAAAATAAACTGCGCATGTGCAGAGGGCTCTCGGTTTATCTCCCCCATGTCCTCCTCTGCTTCCCTGTTTTAGGCACCATGAAGGGAGGTAGGCCATGGTCAGGGTCCTCAACACAACAGATCATCTGGACTTTAGAACCCTGCGTTTCTCCCTGCCATAAGCATCAAGTCCATGTAATCTGGCGTCTCTCCTGCCTTCTCAATAGTTATCGCTATTGATTTTGTGCTGAAGAAATAGTAACATCACTCTGCACATAAATCCACTTAGAATAACTTTTCCCCTAGAGGATCTATTGTTGAAATTTTGGGACCCTATCATTTATTCTATATATACAGGTAGTGTCTATGGTAGACACCATAGGACAGTGTGTACTTCAGTTTGGAATACCATGTACTTCAGGTTAGAACTGAACACTTGAGAAACTATACTAAAATCTCTTGAATTGTACGTGTGAGTCACCTCTATCTTATGGGCTGAAGATTGAGTAAAATATTAGCCACAGTGTTATTTTAAACCATCTGCCCGTCAATTCTTTTCTTCTCCTTCTCCTCCTTCTCGCCTCTCCCCTTCCCCCTTCCTCTCCTTCTCTTTCGTTCCTTACTAAAGATTGAATTTGGGTACTCTACTATTGACCTACATCCAGCTCTTTTAAATTTTGGTTTTTTTTTTTTTTTTTTTTGAGACTCTGAGTTGCTATAGCTGGCCTCAAACTTGAGATCTTCATGTTTCAGCCTCCTGATTAGCTGGGTAACAGGCTTGTGCCACCACGACCAGCTAGTCTTAACTCATTTTCCAGGTTTTAGTTCTAAAGGCTTCTCCCTGGGGTTGGTGCTAGGACATATTGCTGTTTTACGCTAAGTAGTAAAAAGACGATCTTTTGGGTTGATGTTGTTTCATGCTAAAGCTCTAGGCAGAGTTCAGTGCCCAGCCATCTCTGTAGCTGGATATCATTCATGTCTGGTTTTGTCTGTTGATTTTTGTTTTTGTGGTGCAGGGAATCAAACTCAGGACCTCATGCATGCTATACAAGTGCTCACCTCTGAGCTACATCCCAGCCCCTGCGTAGTTAATCTTTTGTGTTGACTTCTACCACTTCCAAATACTTAGAACTACGTACTAAATTAATGTTTATTACTTAATGTTAGAACTAAATTAATGTTTATTAAATTGATGTTAATTCAAGGATCTATAACAAGACAATAAGATCAAGAAGAGCCAATTTTTTCCTGAGACATTTCTGGATTTATCTGAAGAAAATGGTTTGTCCAATGTTACCACAATCAGATGTTACAGTTGAGTTTTTAAAAATAGGCCTTTTTAATTCTAAATTTTTCATAAAATATATTTTAATTCCTTAATTCTTCCAATCATAGCGGTGAAAGAAAAGTTAACTACCATCACTTTATCCAAAGGCAACCCCGACCCAAAGTCACAAAGCCCTTGTCTACTCGTTCGCTCATCCTTTCTCAGTTCTAGATCAGGTCCTCTTTCAGCTCAAAGATTGAAACCACTTTTAGGTTCCTTCAAAAAAGTATCTTCACGTTGTTGGGGATCCTAATTTCTTGTCAAGTAGTAAATGAGGCCCTTCCCCTCCAACTCTTTTTTCACAGGAAAATGATCAGCAAGGGAGCAGTAGCAACCGGTAAACGGCCAAATCTCCGAGTGTAAACGTAAAGAAAAAGGCCCACTATCTCCGGCCCCTCAGAGCAACGACGAAACACCCGTTCCGTCCTCTCTGCCAGGCGTCGTCCTCGATTTTATCTCTTTCTCGCCCCTGCCCGCCAGCCCTTCCGGAGTAGCCATAGTTGTCCCACCCCGCAGTTACCAATAAAGTTGTTACAAAGTGACCTTGAGCGGCTTCCCCCAGTACATCCGCCACCCCGCCTTCTCCATCCGGGTGCTGCGGCGCAAATAAGAGCCGGACTGCGCCTGCGCGCCCAGCTCCACTCCTTCGACCTCTGCCGCCGCCACTGCCGCCGCCGCCTCGCGGAAAGGTAAGTGGAGGGCGCGGGAGCCGGGCCGGCCCGGGCGGAGCAGCGCCCAGAAGAGTCCCATTCATTCCACTGGCGCCTCCTTGGGCACGCAGCCCGAGCTGACCGCGTGCACGGGAGCCCTCGGGGCCTGGGTGGGAAGGACAGGCCCCTGGAGGACGCTTGACCTTAAGCCTCTTTGCCTCTACAGAGAGGAAGCGGGAGAGGAGCCCACGTCGCCTGTCACCCACGTCCTGCTGCCGCGCCCTCCGGAGAGTAAAATGTTCGCCTGCGCCAAGCTCGCCTACGCCCCCGCTCTGGTGCGTAGCCCCGCTGGGCCGCGGACCGAGGGCCGCGCCTCTTGGCCTGCAGCGTCCACGTTGTTGAATGGGGCAACCCGCGGGCGGGGCACACACCCCTCTTGGGAACAGCTCTCCCCTCGCTCCTTAACCCGATGCCCTTTTCTTTCCAATTTGGGGCATCTCAGACCTGCCCTTCCTCCACGAGGGCGAAGGAGAGCCGCCAAGGCCTAGCTGTCAGGCCTGTGCGGTGTAGGTCACGTCCTCCGTGCCCCGCGTTTCCTGCGTTCCCGCTTCCGCAGGGTCTGTGCGGCTGGGGTCGACGCCAAGCTTGGAGGGCGGGGAGGGTCTCTGAGGCCTAGTTCTCCGCAGCAGCGCTCTCCAAAGCCTCCCTAGGTCAAATTCGCTGCTGCAGAGGGAGGGATTTTGCCTCACCATGCGTGGGCGGAGGAAGGTGGCAGGGAAGCCCAAAGCCCTTCTTCCTGCCTCTAGAATATTATTTCCATAACCGTTTTGGAGGCTTTCGGTTAAGTCTAAATCTGGAGGATTGGTCTTAGAGAATCAAGTCTTGATTCTGAAGGGAGGGATTTTTCTGTGACCTTAGTGTAGTGGACACTCAAGGGCAGAGAAGCCAGAGTGCAATATGTCCTTGTCAAGAGACTGTTTCACTGATTGTTCTTAAGCTAATACAGACAAATGCTTTTTTTACATTTTATAATTAATGTGCATATAGGAATAACCTTTGGGATAATGAGAGCTCATATTAACTGCTGGGCCATTTTAAATGACAGTGTTTATAGTAACACTACTAATGCACTTGTTGGTGCACATAACCTACCAAAGAATGTGGTGTTCACTGAATTGTGGTATTACAATAAACGAAATGTCACTAGTGATGTTTACTCTTTTAATGAATTGCTTTTACAAGTTTTGTTCAAAGTCCTACAAATAGATTATGTAGCATGTTTTGCGATTTTATTAGCATGAAACCTTACTAAAATTGTTTCATATATTGAAAATAAACAAGTAGCCAGGATGATTTATTATAGACAAGTCTCTTTTATTTTTGTTGCTTACTTTTTAAAAACTCTTGGTTTAACAAAGGTCATGGAAGTCTTGGCTGTGTTTTTAAGACTTGGAATTGGTTTTTTTCATTAACAGATCCGAGCTGGATCCAGAGTAGCATACAGACCAATTTCTGCATCAGTGTTATCTCGGCCAGAGGCTAGGACTGGAGAGGTAAGAGAAGAATTGTACAAATTAGATAATACTACCAAGTAAGTCTTGTAGTTTTGCTTATATTAGGAGAGAGGGGAAACTTCATTAATGAATGGTTTGAGGGCAGTCCTTTTCCGCTCTTTCATCCAAAAACTATGTAGAGGATGACCCAGTGAGAGGAACTTCGGTATCTAAAACTTGGCCTCTTGAGTAGGCCAATGAACATTGTAGTCAGTGTTTATTTTTAAGTTTTGAGTTGCATGTATTTATAATATATAGTTTATTACTATATTATACTATAATACAGTTTTGAATTGCATGTATTTAAGATTATAATAGCTAGTAACCAAGAAAACTACCCTATTGAAAAGCATATTCATATATGCTGTTTCTTACCTTTTAGCAATAGAAATTACCTGTATTCCGTGAGATCAGAATTATTCTAAGCTCTTGATTTTTCTATTGTGCCATAAGCTACCCACTCACACTTGGCCACAATAAAGTAGTAGTTATCATCTTGACAGTACAATATTTAAAATAGCTGTGATTACTGATTTAACCTTTGCCTTTATTTCCTGTTCTCTAGGGCTCTACAGTATTTAATGGGGCCCAGAATGGTGTGTGTCAGCTTATCCGAAGGGAGTTTCAGACCAGTGCAATCAGCAGAGACATTGATACTGCTGCCAAATTTATTGGTGCAGGTGCTGCAACAGTAGGAGTGGCTGGTTCTGGTGCTGGTATTGGAACAGTCTTTGGCAGCCTTATCATTGGTTATGCCAGGTAATCATTTCTATCCCTGAGTAAGTTAAAGAAGTAGTTGAAAATTATGCTTATAATAGTTGGAAACTTAGAAAACTAGTGAAATGACAAAAGATATTTTGTGTTGAGTGCCTACTATGTATCGTGTTATATTTTCAGGGCTTTGTATATATTATCTCACTTAATCAGAGCGATCAGAAAAATGTCAAGATCCATTAAAATTGATACATAGGAAGCCGGGCGTGGTGGCGCACGCCTGTAATCCCAGCATTCGGGAGGCTGAGGCAGGAGGATGGTTGTGAGTTCCAGGCCAGCCTGGGCCACAAAGTGAGCTCAAGGTCAGCCTGAACTGCATAGTGAGACCCTGTCTCAAAAAGACAAAATAAAATAAAATAAAATTGATACATAGGAACATCTCCCTATTTTAATACTGTATAATTAGGATTGGGAAGGAAGGAATGTGAATAGCAGAAGGAAGCAAAAGAGATCTAGGGAAGTACTCTTCCTGTAGACTTTCCAGTTTGCAAATAATTTGATTCACAAGCAATTTGATTCTTTAACATTTACCAAAAATGTTCAAATTAATATTTCAAAGTAACAGTCATATGTTGTATCTCTTTTAGAAACCCTTCGCTGAAGCAGCAGCTGTTCTCATATGCTATCCTGGGATTTGCCTTGTCTGAAGCTATGGGTCTCTTTTGTTTGATGGTTGCTTTCTTGATCTTGTTTGCCATGTAACAGAAATTACTGCTTGAAATGTTGGCACTCATAGTAATTACGGATATAATTCTGTGTATCTTACTGTGACTCTGAAAACTGTAGTGTTGGCGTCATGGAAATGTATATTATTTCCAAAGTCATTTCATTAAAGATGAAAACTTTAATTTTTGCTGTGATTTGTACTTACCTAAATTTAGATCACCACAAAGAAGATGTGTTCAGGCAAATACTGTCCAATTCAGAGAAAGCTGTAGCAGTTGCCCCAGTGATGCAAGAGTCTAATGTAATTTATATGGGAATTCTTTTATATAGCGTTCCTGCACATCGTAATTTACAGAGCTTTTGTTTATTAACATAAAAGAGAAATAATAGTTCATCAAGATCATGTGAAATAAGATTAATTAAACGAAGGTAATTGCTTAAGATGGTTTTGTGTTTTTAAGAGTTGAATGAATTCGGATACTTGGAAACAGAAACATCCAAGTTGACTTGGCCAGGCATACACATCTCAGTCAAAAAATAAATGTATCAGTTTTTAAGACATGAAGCCTTAAACTGGGAATGTGATTTTTGTTTTTCAGTAAGTCTCACATTAAGCAATTGTGTGTCTATAGTGAATCACCATGTGTCTGACTAGCAGCTAGTTTCTTATTTAAATAAGTCATCAAAAAGTGAACTGAGATTGGCTACATTTTTAAAAGCCACAAGTTGCTAGTGCTTATCACTGCTGCTAAGGTGTATAGTGGGAGTCTTAGGAATGACAGTTCATTCGACAGTATTTGCTTCTAATATTCCATGTTGCTGCGTGGTCAAAATTTTCTGAAAAGGAAGAAAGTGGTGCTACTGTAGACTGCCTTTTTACCCAGGCAGATAAACCGTGCCATCATATTTTTGCCATCTGAATTTCAAGGTTTATTTGAAGGTTAAGACAATTAGAAAAGCTGCATTATACTACTTTAGTGCTCTTTGCCTAATTTGATTTCAGCTGAGAAAGAGTAGTCAGATACAAGAATTTCTCAAGTATGAAAAGTCTCAGAAGACCTTCATGAGAATCATCTAGGGTGATTATTTAAAATACAAATCTCTGCAGGCCGTGGTAGTGTACACCTGTAGTTCCAGCACTCAGGAAGCTGTGGCAGGAGGATCACTGGGAGTTCGAGGTCAGCCTGGGCTAAGAAGTGAGTTCAAGAGCAGCTTGAACTACATAGTTGAGATCCTGTCTCAAAAAGACCAAAAAAATAAATAAAATATAAATCCCCAATCTCCATGCCTATTGAACTAGACTCTTCAGCCATGAGATTTAGCAATTTGAATTTTTAAAGTCTTCTCAGATAATTTTTGTACATAATTGTTTGAAAATCACTACTTACATTTGCTACCTTCTAGAGAATGAAATGAGATCCAAAAGAGGTAGAGCTAGAACTACAACTGCTTAATCATGTAGCCTATATCAAATATAAAATTCCTCGAGTCCAAACTATTTCTTCAGTAGTAGTACCCAGTATTTGAGCTCAGCAAAGTAAAAATTATTGTGTAACCCAGCAATTCCATCTTGGATACATACCCAGAGGAATTGAAAGTAATTCAGACAAAAACGAGACAAATGTTCATAGTAGCACTGTTCAAAATAACTAAATGTGGAAACTAGATGTCCATTAACATAAATGGGTAAACAAAATGTGGTATGTTCATACATTATTCAGCCATAAGAAAGAAGTACTAATACGTGCAAAGCATGAATGAACCTTCAAAAAGTGCTAAGTGCAAAAAACCCGATAGAAGGCCACATATGCATGATTCCATTCAAGCCAATAAGCAGTTACTAGAGAGTATGGGGAGGGACTTCTTTATGGGTGTGGAATTTCATTCTGAGGTGAACAAAAAGTTATGAAACTAAATAGTAGTAATGGTTGCACAACACTGTAAATATACTATTACTGAATTGTACACTTCAAAATAGCAAATTTTACATGTATTTTACTACAGTTAAAAATACTATGTAACAAAGTACATGGTAAAATCTTAACAGATTTTAAAATCATAGGGAAATACTTAGATTAGTCCTGTGTTACAAGTGCATTTTAAATAAAATCAGTCTTGGTGATGACCTGTTCTTGCTGCTGGTTTGGTGGTTGAAAAAGCTTGAAACATTTATTCTGGAATAGGTTTCTTGCAAGAGATGCTGCAGCTAAGGGATCCTCTGAGCCTGAAAAAATACCTGAACTGTGTTACATAGTCCTCAGGTTACAGAGCAAAAAAATTCTATCTAGGCTGGGAAGGAAATACTGCATAAAAGGCTCAACATCCTGGAGTATATCTTTTTACTTACTATTTTGCTATTTATTAGATTTCTGACATACAGAGTACACCATTGGAATACATCTGCTGTGGCAGCAGATATGTACCATTTTTTATATCAGGTACCACCTCCCTTAGTTTATGAGCTTTGCAAACAAATGTTAGTAGTAAGTGCTTTTTACTACTTTGTTTCTGAACACAAGACTGATAGAGATGTTACTTTCACACCACTCAAAAACAAAATGAAGAATTTTCCCTGTTGATAATAATAGTTGGTTTATTTTAGAACTCCAATGGGTAAGAGCACCATAGAATAAGGCAGAGATTTGAGCATATTTGCTGAAAATATTGTTCCTTAATAAAGCATTTTGGTTTTTCAGGCATGATTCTTATGTGGTAATATGTTGTTTCCTTAATGCAGGAGTGTATTTTTGATGTCTTTGGGATTCAACTCAAAAGAGAGATTTGAATATGAAGTCTGTCTTTGAGCTAAAGGGAAATGTCATTGAGGAACAAACACATATGTAACAAATGCAAAGTGAAATGGTGAATTCTACAGGGATGGCAGTTAAGTACTAAGATGTTCAGAGGGATCCAAAATAATTTCCAGTGAAAGGTACACATGAAAAAGTGCTGTTTGTCTACAATAGCAAATATAAACTTGATGAGCTGTTAAAATGTGAGGATAGGCCAGAAGAGGCTATCTTAGCTAGTGAATAGCATGAGAAAAGAAAAACCAGCCAAGTTTTGGTATGTGAGGAGATTTGCCCTGGGTGTAGGAGGGAAATAGTGTGAGATAAGACTGAAAGGTAGACTGGGGTCAAATTCTGTATTCTGGCAGATACAAGACTGGATTTTATTCATATGACCACAGACAGCCATTGAAAGTTTAGAACTATGTTTTACAAAAGTTGATTTGAGACCAGTGTATAAGAAGGCCTGGAGCCAAAATGATCAATGGCAACTCTAGTCGTTTTGCTGAGAGAAAGAGGCCTCATCTAGGATGGAGGCAGTAAGTACTTTTAAAGACTAGATTGAGCTCTAAAACAAGTCAGGAGAGAAGATGCTCTTCCCTAGCTAGAAGATACTGTCTTTTAGCCCTCATGACAACCCTGCAAAGTTGGAATTCATTTTCAAGATGCAAAGAAAAATAAGCTCAGAGGAGTTAATTCCCCAAATCAGTTAGGCAAAGTCAGGATCTATATTTAAATCTTCCTAGATTCCAAAGCCCATGCTTTCATATGTAGTGTGACTATGTTAAGGATGACATGGGAAATTTATTTGAGTGATAAATGTTGCTCATATATAACTTTAAATACAAGAGGTATAATCTTACAAGTGGGCTTGAGTAACTGGAAAGAAAAATGCTATAGTACTCAGTGTAGAGTAGATGTAAATAAAAAGTGCACAGCAGCAATAAGGACCTGATTCAAGGTAGATAACAAATTCATAGTGAATCTCATTAACCTAATTTTGTGACTTCAGCAGTGTTGGGAAGCTTGTTAGCCCAAACTGATAAAAAAGAACAAGGAAGCATTATCAGGGCTGGGCACTGACAGAAAGAAATGATGAGGTCAAGAGGGCTGTAAGCAGAAAGCAAACAAGCATATTGCTCAACAGGATAACCTATGAACCCCAAACAGTAAGGAACAAGTGAAGACACAAAGATGACAAATTGGAATAGAAGAGAGGTCTCAAGGGCCCAAAGACCTTAGTTAGGTTGATGATCTATTTCAGTAAGAGCTAAAAAACACATCAGAAATGTAAAGAACTTCAAAGTTAAAGGTCCTGGAAATAAGGTGGGTTCAAGGATTGATCAAATTTTGTGGTAAGTTGCTAAGTGACCTAAGATGGGTAGAAATGTTATTGTAGCTATAAAGAAAGACCAGGCAAATGTGAAACACCATTTTAGAACCAAATAAACTATACTCATGCTTTTGCTGAAAGTTTTAAGTTCTGTTAGATTAAGTTTTGCCAATATAATTTGGTTTGGGTGTTAGGTGTTTGGCAAAGGAAAATTTGTATTATTATGGTGCTATCTAAAATGCCATATTACATGATTTCTATATATGAAATTACAAAGAAATTCAATTCTCTATACCATATCAACTTAGTAATGTCATGGTATTATTCTACTGATAAAATCATGAACATAAGGGCCAAATACATGATCCATCAGCTACCAGCCCAATTCATTACATTATTAAAGACAAAATTTATTATTATTTTTAGATTTAATACCAGTCTCTTCTGTCTCAACAAATATGGCAGTTGGATTTTGTCTCTACCAACATTATGCCTTAACTTGCTTTGATGTAGAGATTATTATAATAGCCAAAACTTATCATAGAAAGGGATTTTTTTTCAGTGCATTGATTTCATGCACTTTTAAAAGTAGGTAATATGAGTTTATATTCCTCTCTTCTTTTACTCATTCCAGTCCCTCCCTTCCCCTTACATACATACACACACACACACACACACACACACACACACACAGAAACATGTTCACAGAAGTGGACATATTTCATAATGAACTAGAGATTATACTAGTCAGTGAGGTCTGGATCAGTGACATTGCTAGTCAGTGAGGTCTGGGTCACGGATTGCTAGTCGGTGAGCAGACTGACACCACCTGGCAGCTGTCTGGAAATGCAGGTTCTGGAGCCCACTCAGTATCTGCTGGATCAAAATTTGCATTTTAGGTGCAGGGATCTTAGGGGATTTGTGTACATATTAAACTTTGAGAAGCATTGTACTAGAATACTATAATTCCCAGGATGCCACAATTCATACTCTGTCTTTAAAAATACTGCCCCTATTCACTGGGAGATATTCTTTTTCTTCCCACCCCCAAACTGGCATG